AATACTTTTAAATAATAAAAATAATTATAAGTTATAAAATTAAAACTTATTCATATCACATTTTATCTTGTTTACAATTATTAATAAAATAATTTTACAAATATAATTACTTGAATATTATATTTTTTTTGATTTATAATTATAAAATTATTAAGTTATTTCTCTTGAAAGATTTTATAAGAAAAATTCTTATTTTTAATTTATTTATAATTTATAATAATTTTAAATTTTAAACTTTTTTATTTTTATTAATAATTTTTTTATCAGATTTTTTTTAATAATTAATAAGAATATATGAAATTTTTCTAGTAATTAATAAAAATAAATAAATTTTTAATTAATCTAGCAAAATAAATAAAATAATTCTGATATAAAAAAATAAAAAATATAAAAAATAAATACTATTTGAAAATAATAATAAGATAATTTTATATATAATAATTTATAAAATAAATAAACATGAAAAACTTTATGAAAAAAGTCTAGTAGCTCTATTATTAATTAATATATTTGATTTTTATACTTATTTTAAAGTTAATAATCTAGAAAATAGCTAAAAAATATTAATACTATTATTCTAAAGAATTAAAAATCTATAAAAATATTTTTAATTAATGAATTTAACTTCAAATAGTTTTGTTATCAGAAAGAATTAAATTGATAAAAAATATACTTTTTAATAAGAACTATCTTCATATCAATTTTCAGATAAATTGTATCTAATTTATTTAGTTATTAGATTTCAAAGTACCAGATCAATGCCAAGTCAAAGAATGCTTGCCAAAATTATTTTGAAAATTCCAAAATACCAAAATTCCGAAATTATATCAGATTACATGCTAATAGTTAAATAGTATTTTGACATTTGACAGATCTATTCTATTATATTGTCAAAATTCAAAAAGATTTGCAATAATAAAAATATGTTATACACTAATAGTTAATTAGTATTTCAGATTTGACATTACATTATCTGCTGAAATTCATGAATTTTGGTGTGCATTCTTATGCTAAGTAAAAATAAATTTAACTATCTTTTATTTAGCATTAATTTAGAGCTCTAATAACTAGCGAATTAGATATCAATTTAGCTGAAAAATTGGGATTAGATGGTTGAAACACTCATTGCAATCCCAATCTCTTTGATAATCAATGCATTTGCTACAATCATGAGTATTGTGAACTAAACATTCATCGCAGTATTCATTCTTTTGACAACGATTATATTATTACAATGAATAGTATTTGATTCCATCTGTGAGTTCTCTTTAGATATAGCATGGATGCATTACTATCGCTATTAAGTAAACAATTGTATCTGGATTTTTAGTCATTCCATAATATGTTATCAAGTTGCCATAACCAAGCATTTAAGCCCCATTTGAATCTGATGTGGAAAGTGATCAGAATATAAAAAGCAAACTTTCATTTTAGAAAGTGTCATTTTTTACCTCGTTTATAAATTCTGGAGTAATTTGTTTTGAATTGTGTAATGATTTCAACAAAGCTTTACTTTCTCCATGTCGTATAAATTTTATTTTCTTCATGGTCACAAAAATCCAATGGCCCGGCCAACCCAGGTTGCTTTAAAAATTGACCCAAACCATCCATTTGCATGATATTCAAAGTTGGTGAATCTTTTAAAAGGAATCCATTCGAATGTGTTTGCATATTTATACTTGATTTTGTTGCATTCGTTTATTATATTGTCGGTATCTTTATTTCCGCTAGACAATTCATCGTTATAAATTCGTTTGTGACATTTGAAACAATTATCGCAGTATTCTTTTTTTTGACAACGCCGACATTTATGAGTGTTATGAACTAAACACATCGCAGTATCTACTATCTTGACAATCAGTACACTCATTACAATGGTAAGTATTTGATTCCATCTTTGAGTTCCCTTTATATTTGTGAAGTTCGCCAAAGAATACATAACTCATTACTATCAAGTAATCGTTTGTAATTGGGTCTTTAGTCATTCCATAGTATGCTATCAAGTAGCCGTAATCATAACATTTAAGCCTTGTTTGAATCTATTTTGAAAAATTGATTGTATCAGAAAACAAAAAGCAACTTTCACTTTAGAAATGTTTCATTTTTACCTCGTTGATTAACTCTGGAGTAATTTGCTTTGAATTATGTAATGTTTTCAACACAACTTTACTTTCTCCTCTTCGCTTAAAGTTATTTTCTTTATGATCCCACTTGGGAATGGGAATGCAATTATCGACATCATAATCCAATGGTCCCTCCAACCAGGTTGCTATATAAATTGACCCCAAACTCTCTTTTGCAAGATATTCAACTATTTATATTTAATTTTGTTACCTTCTTTTATTATGTTGTCGATATCGTTGTCTCCGCTAGACAATTCGTTATAAGTTCATTTGTGATATTCGAAACAGTCGTTGCATCTCTCATCCCGTTGACATTCAGTACATTTATTACAATCATGAGTATTGTGAACTAAATACTTCGAAAATATTAGAGAAACTAGCCTGTGATAATCACAAAATCCTATCCTAATTACACACACAAGTAAAATCGATTCTTCGCATATGCATTTACTATTATATCCAAGCTCAATAATTACATTGCAGTAGTCATTTCGTAGACAATAGTAACATTTATTACAATGATGAGTATTTAATTCCATCTTTAAGTTCAGTGGATAAAATGCGTGAATTAGTTGAAATGATCGACGGTATGTGTAACTTTTATTACAATGCGCATGCATTAAAAGAAAGCTTATTTAGATACGTGTACATGTACATGATATCGTTTTGGTCAGATCCAATGTACACGTATAGTATTTGATACAGTCAAATGCACATTCCATCCTAATTCAGTCCCAAGCTTATAAGTATAAATTACTCTCTCTAAGTTTACGTTTTCTAAAAGAAGATTCGAAATAATTTATTTTCTAATTTCAAAGCTATTATAAGTCTGGCGCGTTAAAAGACTTTTCAAAACCTCGAGGATAAATATCGCGATCATTAAAGAGAATCTTACTGTAAGAAATAAAAATTATAGAATCGGAACTGTATACAGTATTTTATATTAATATAAAATATATTACAAATCGTTTGCAAAATTGATTTAGCTCACTAATCAAATTACATGTATACACGTGTGCTCAAATAAGAATATATGAATTTATATCAGAGCACGGTTTAAAATATATGAATTTAATATATCAGAGAACGGGTTCAAATAAAAGTAATATTTCATTTGCCGTCTGTTTTGGGTCTTCTTTTTTCGATTGCTATGAAGTTGGGTGCTCTTTTTTCGTTTTCTTTGGCGTTCGTTTTGGTGAACGATCTGTGGGGTGCTCGTTTTTCATTTTCTTTGGTGTTCGTTTTGGTGAACGATCCGAGGGGTGCTCGTTTTTCATTTTCTTTGGTTTTCGTTTTGGTGAACGATCTGAGGGGTGCTCGTTTTTCGTTTTCTATGGTGTTCGTTTTGGTGAACGATCTGACGTCGAAATTCGCACGTTTATCAACTATAAAGATTTTAATTATAATCGTGCTATAATAACGATAAATAAATACATACCTTCACCAGCAACATAGATATTTCCAAAGATAACAAACACCAGAAAACATAAAAAGATCTTTAAAGCGGAATTCATTTTTTATCTTTAAATTCTTGTGATTTTTAAAAAATTTGTTAGACCTTGCTTATTTATAAGATTTTATCTTTTGATTCTATAAGAAAACACTTTCAGATAATTTCGGTCTATTCATTGCCTATTTCGTACCGGTATCTATAAGAAAAACCATATATGCACAGGGGAAAAAGATCCAAAGTACTGTTTTCGCATCGTGATCCGGAACAATTCAAATACAAGCACATTATGTGTTTTCCTTGAAAAAAAAATACGATTAAGTCAACATGCCAGTAAATAAAGTATCCAATAAAGTATGTTCTTTGCACAAAGTACTTTTTTATTATTGTCATATGAAAATAAACAAATAATCAATTTAAGTTAACGTTATAGGATAAAAATCAAATGAGGTAAAAAAAAAGGTACAAATTCGACATTGTTCATTTTGGTTCTAGATTTGAATGCCAAACAGTAGTACATGTACATATCTTGCATGCACGAAAAAGTAAGACAACGAATTTGTGTGGGCGAATGAATTCGATTTGTTAAATCTTTATTGATAGAGTAGAAATGATTTCTAATATATGTAAACTTTTGTTTTCTTTATATTACCGATCGTTCCGGATTAAGGCATCATTTTTTGATGTTGACCTGACAAATGGCACTTCTTACGAAACACATTAGATCAACAGCTGGAAAATGCTTTATAAAATATGTTACATATATTAAGAAAGGTTTGGACTCTAAACGCTTAATTCTGCACAACACGGTAATCACAAATGGATAATAGGATCATAGCCTTTTTTAAATAAAAGTTAAGCAGAAAATACAGTAATCGTCATAAATTTTGATATAGTGCATAGAATAATGAAAAATTGTCAAAATTGCCTGAAATATTTTACAGAATTATTATTAATTATTATTACACTTTTCTCGATAAAATTTATTGTAAAAAATAAGTCAGATCCAACAAAGATTGAGCTTATATTATTAAAAATAATATTAAGCATCCTATTATTTTATTATATGTGAAATTTGTTCATTATATTACAAAGAACATATTTATAAATTTTGATTTAATTCTGACATTTTTTCATAAAGTTAGCTACATTTATGGTTGTTTTTAATTATTTGTAATTTAATAGTATTTTTAATAAAATATTATACCAATATGTCTTAAGTAACTTTGTTCTTCATATCAAAAAACACATATTTGAAAAGTTTCACGAAATTCTATTCGTTCTTTATCATGTAATTGATATATAAATTTAAAAATTCCGAATCTTTATGACGACCACTGTACTTTAGTCGGTTGGGATTATTACTTATCATTAAGACAGTGACATTTATTAGCTAATATTATTATGATAAGATATTGTAACAAATTAATTTGTACTAAAGATCCAACTATCGCTATATCCCATCTTAAAATATGGGCTGAGTGCAATAAAAATGGTATTAAAATTTTACGATGTTTTTATTGCACTCAGCCCATATTATCATGCCTTTATTTAACAGACCAACTTTTTCATCAACTTGCTATCTCGTATTCAGATAAATTATTATCTTTATTCGAACTTATTTCTTAGCTATCATTTTCAAATGCATACTCACCCTCTATGCACACCATAGTCCGCTTCCAACTTCTAATAACATTCAATTATAAATTGTTTCATATAAATGCTCACCCTCTCTAATGCATTATCTGCTGATTTTAATAAAACACAAAAATTTTTATACAAACTTAACTTTGGATTTGTTTATCTTTTTCAGAAAAAAGGTATTTGCGTCAATAACAAATTCCAAGAATCTATCGTTTTGCCAAATCAAATTCGTCCAATACATTTGTACATGTTTTTCGAAAACACAACTATTTTGATTTCAATCATACAAGTGCCCTCTATATAATTACAAAAGGAGAATGTGTGACTATAAAGGTCAAATTCCTTATGGCAGATTTATTATGTTTCAGAAAAAAGATGTGATTATAAAGAGGTGTGATCATATGAGTGATGACCAACTTTATTTACATGTATCATGATGGAGGAAAGAATGTTTATATGGACAATATAACTTCAAACAAAGTATATATTAATTATGTATGCTGTCATCCAATTGGTCTTCTTCACATTTATAGATACTTTTCTGATAACACCCGTTAACTTCTTTACATGATATAATCTATTCATCATACAATATAATCATAAAAAACTGATATTGCACAGCACTGACTGCATAAAATACCCTTTATAGAAAATTTAAACTTTGTATAACAATTATGAATTGGATAAAACCAAGATTCACAGTACAAATTTTTTTGACTTTAAGGTTGATTTTTTATAAAGTGTGTAAAAAAAATATACATAAAATTTCCAGATGTCAATCAAACACAATAACCAATCCAATTATGTAATTTGAGTCCTGCAAAACTGAGACATGGAATCACAGTTTATAAGAGAAAACAGAAGTATTCGAATATAAGATCACCCGACAGAATGATAGATATATTCAATTAACAGTTATCTCAGAACTTATCATTGAAAAAAAGATGATAGACCCTAGAAAAAACCACTTTGAATTTTACAGGTGGTTTCCCCTGTAAAATTCCTGTATTCAGTTAAGCACTACAGATGTTTACAGGTTTTTAAATGCACCAAAAATTGTTTTGGTACATAATTTTTAATTTTCAAGTCAAGTCTATGAAAAAAACTTAAAAAATGTCAAAGTGAAGTTACAGGTAAGAGAAATGAGATGATGAAATATCTCCCGTTGTTCAGATGCTCGCTGATAACAATATGACATCTCAATAAAATTCGATTCTGAAACAGAACCACTGATTTTGTGTAATTTATAAAACTTTGTTCGATGTTCAATGCAGAATCATATTGTTGCGCATTACTGGGAAATTAACGGGTTTAAAGGGCAAGTGCGGCAAGGCAAGTAAGAGCAAGATTGAATGATTTACAATTTAAGGGTTTCTTTATTGTTCTAAAGGTCTCCTGTGATAATTTGAACGCAAATCAAATGTTAATATCTAGTTTCGATTGGGGCATTATATTTCTGATAACCAGCAACAAGAAGAGTCTGCGCTAAAAAATCAAAGGGGTTCGAGAAGATTTCTACCAAAATTACTTCGGAAACAAAAATCCAGATGGTTTCAGCTAACCAAAAACTACAGTACGCAAAATCAAAGGTTGGACTTAGTTTCTGTCAACAGAAACAATATTCAAATTATGGATTATTTAGAATGAAGGTCATTCACTACTTGTATGCAAGGTTTGAAGATAACCAAGTAGAAGAAAAATAGTTCATTTACGAGCAAAGGAATTATTGCAGTAAGACGGTTTATTTGATTAGAGCATAACATTCAAAGAATAGCATCTCGTCTTTTATACAAATTGACTATTACTAATTCTATGCTATTCGATTCTACACTAAACTATAGGCTCTGGATAATACGATCAAGGATATGAATCCAAGAAACATCGACTTATTTAAACACTATCAAAAATATATGTTTCTTGAGAAATTATTAAAAACTGATAGACATAACATTAATAAGGGCATAGATAAACTTACGAAATGGTGTCGGACATTAGTTCAAAGTTTTGGTAAAATTGGTGAATTACAAGGGATGTTTAATTGTTGATCATGCAATTCATGTACAATGTTCTGGGAATAATTATTGCCGGGGCTGATGCTGAAATCTGGCTGGATCAATTTTTATTCTCTAATTTCATTGGTCGATTTCAGCATTAACCGCCACAATTTTGAAATTCTACGTCACGGGTAGATCGTCTCGTGGAAGCACGTGATTAGTGATAATAGTAAATAAGAACGGCGTTAGTAATATTAGTGCACGAATAAGGTGATATTCGGGCCATCGCGATGGGGAGAAATGGTCTGATAAGAGATGCACCAATGGATGTCGACTAATGAATCAAAGTGAGAATGGGTTCCTTAGTCTATTGTGATAGATTGGGACTAGATGGGGACGTCGCGGAGTAGAAGTATCAATAATAATCATAACTATAATAAAGTCTTTCCCTAACAAAATATCATATTGATTTATTCGATATTTGAAGTATTAACAAATCGTAGTGCCGTAACCGAAGAATGCGATCATACGAAGTGCGTGTTGATTGTAACTACGCTTAACTTTATATGTACAGTGTGTGACAAAAAAACTTTACTAAATTCATTATAAATTCATGAATATTGTATCAAATTTAGTGATCAATATATCATTTAAAAGCAAAAAAGTTATAGAATAAAATTTATTAGGCTTAAAAATTGATTTATTTATTTTTGCTTTTAATAGCTAACTTACAATAATATTTTATTGAATTTATTAAATTATTTAAAATGATTTTTGAAATAAGATCCCATTCTTCTATCAAAGACTTCTTTAAAATATTCAAATTATTAGATATTTATTTCTTAATATTATTCTTAACAATAGTCCATAAATTTTTTATAGGATTAAAATCAGTTTGAATAGTTTAGATATAGAACAATTATCTTCATTCTAGTAATATAATAAGCTATATATTTTTGATTTGTGATCAATTAAGAATATTTTAATAGTGAATTTTGCAAGAATTTATTTAACAATATAGTAAATAAATCTGTTATTTAATTTTAATTCAGTAAAAAATGATATAAATTAAGCTAAAATTAAAGATATTTATTTATTATCTAATATAATTAGCAAATAGTTAAGTTTTTTTGTCACATACTATATATTAGTCACTGGAAATGTTCTCTAAAGTATATGTAAATATAATATAGATCATTTATTTTAATGTAATAATTTTTCTTTGATATATTTATGTCAATATTAATATTCACAAAATCTTAAAAAATAAGTAAAAATCAATTTATTAGTCTTATTTTTTAAAATTCAAAAATAAAATTCATTAAAAACATTCAATTTATCTTTTAATAATCAATTTTTTATTAA